TTGATATGATTAAGCAGGCTTACCCAGGTGTTGCGTTAGCAAGAAGTGGCGTGTTTCGGTGGCACCAGGCCTTTTTGGAGGGAGGGGAAGAGGTCGCTGATGAAGAACGTGCAGGAAGACCTTCGACTTCGACAAACACCGATCATGTGACTCGTGTGCGCAAAGTTTTGAACTCGACAAAATATTCGTTTAATTGCCCAGATGTAAAATTTACCAAAATCTGTGGTTCATGACATTGTGACACAGCATTTGAACATGCGCAAGGTGTGCGCGAAGATGGTCCCAAAAGTGCTCACTGACGACCAGAAATTGCGGCGAGTGGAAGTGTGCCAAGAAAATTTGAACATGTGTGAAAGTGACCCCCAATTTTTGAATAACGTAATCACAGGTGACGAGTCGTGGATCTTTGAGTATGATCCCGAGTCAAAGATGCAATCTTCCGAGTGGCACACGTCGGCGTCTCCTCGCCCAAAAAAGGTAAGAAAGAGCAAATCCAAAGTGAAAACGATGCTCATTGTCTTTTTTGACACCAAAGGCATCGTTCACCATGAATTTGTTCCTCCGGACAAACCGTCAACGCCAAGTTTTACGTGGAAGTGCTCAGGAGACTCAAACGAAGGATCAGTCGGGTCCGACAAGACATCGCAGCCGACTGGAAGTTGCACCACGACAACGCCCCGGCTCACACCGCCTTTCTTGTGAACAGTACCTGACCAAGGCTGGCAACCCAACGCTTCCGCAGCCGCCCTACAGCCCACATGTGGCCCCCGGACTTTTTTTTTGTTTCCTCGCTTGAAAAGGCCGATGAAAGGCAAGCATTTTGAGACGACAGAGGGGATCCAAGCAGCATGCACCGCGGCTCTCAAGGCTATTCCTTGACGCCTTCAATGCTTGGAAATCGCGCCGGCAGCGCTGCATCGACGCAGAAGGAGCCTATTTTGAAAGTTTTCAAAGAATTGTAACGATTGGCTCAATAATTTTTTTAAATCGACTCAGTCCTATTACTTTCCGGACAAACCCAGTACATCTATTATTTACTCTCAACTCCGCTAAAGCTCTTGCACGGAGACAACAGTAAAGGCGAGTCCTCATATATCCCCACCGAAAGAAATCATTAGACGCCAAGTCACGAGATCTCGCTGGCCATTACATTGTAACAAGAATAAATAGTACTACCAGCGACATCTGTTGGGAACCGCGCCAGAAATTCTCTTTCGAGATTGACGCGAAGTGACCTAGAAGATTCTGGACTGCCGCTATGTGGCTCACCGGAACTTTCGCGAACTAACAAGTACATGCGATGCGGAATATACAGGGTTATCCAAATTAAGTGTCCACCATTAGTAACTTGTTATTAGTGAAAATACAAAGTTGTTTGAATTAGCAAACTAGTAGCATTTTTAACGCTGGTAAAAATGAGAAATAAAAAAAAAACAATTGAGAGTCGTTATTTTGATTTTTTTCAGTAAAATAACATTTTTTTAAATGGAAACCCTGTATATATTTTTTTCTGTTAAAGCATCAAATTTTAAACAAAAAAGTTCATAATGACTTTTCCGCTAAAGTCAAAAATAAAGTCAAAATAACGATAAATATTTTTAATTATTTGCAGTATTATAATATTAAGACGGCTATGAAAACAACATGGCGTTCGCGATTTGACGCATTAAGATAAGCGACAAATTGTTAAACTGGACATACTCGCAACTAGAAGGCTTTGGAAAACAATGATAAAATCAAATAATGTCAAACATTAGTGTAAATACTTGTTTATAAGCTTTATTGTGTCATTAATTTAAAGAAAAATGTTCTCCATGAAGAAAAGTGTGATATGTTAGAATGCTATTTAGTGTGCAGAAAATCCTCCTTGAGAGCAAGAGAATACTACAGTGAATTATATCCCGCTCGCATTCAACCGTATGAACGATATTTTCTGAGACTTTATCGAAAATTTAGGGGCAACGAAAATGTTTTTGCTAAAACAAGGGCAAAAAAAGAATTCATAATAAGCGAGGCCACGGAAATTGCAGTTATTGGATATTTTGAAGCTTATCGTGAGAATTCAATAGCAGATATTCTCAAGGACTCTAATTTCAGTTATGGTACTGTTCAAAGGATTTTAAAAAAATACAAATTTATTCCGTATAAGTACCGACCAGTTTCAACGCTTTTGGCAGGGGATCCAGAGAGAAGACTTGTTTTTTGCCATTGGTATCTTAGCTTCTGTCGCCAAAATGTAAATAACTTTCGTTACCTTTTATGGACAGATGAATCAAATTTTCAAATTCTGGAATGTATTAATAGAAAAAACCACCATTATTGGTCAAGAGAAAATCTTTTGTTAGTACATCCAAGAGGCCCACAAGTCCGTTTCAGTTTCAACGTTTGGTGCGGTATAATTGGTTCAAAAATTGTTGGCCCTTCTTTTATGAGGGAACCCTAACTGGTGAAAGATAGGTGTGGAATTTATGTCAGAAATTCTGACTAATTTCTTAGACGAATTGGATCTTATAAGTAGACATCATCTGCATTTTCAGCAAGATGGCGCACCTGCCCACAACTCCAGAGGTACTTATCATTTTCTAAGTACTACTTTTAATGATCAGTGGATAGGAACAAATGGCCCAATACAGTGGCCTCCCAGATCACCAGATCTAAACCCACTTGATTACTTCTTGTGGGGTTACTTAAAGAACCAAATTTACAAGCGAAGGTACGATAACCTTGACGCGTTAAAGACTGCAGTTAGGGAAAAGATAACCCAGATAGATGGTAGGACCATACTTAAGACAGTTCGAGCAGTTGAAAACGTGCCCAAAAATGTATTGAAGAACAAGGTGGTGTTTTCGAGCATCTTCTTTAAAAAAAATTGTTATTGTATTTTGTAAGATTATAAGTTGATGTTGAAAAAAAGTTTGTCGATACAATTTAATTGTTTCAGATTGGAGGCGATAACTTCAACAATTTGTAACCTAGGAGAAAAGTTATTGTAAGCTTTTTTGTTTAAAATTTGATGCTTTAACAGAAAAAAATATAATATACAGGGGTTTCCATTTAAAAAAATGTCATTTTACTGAAAAAATAACGACTCTCAATTGTTTTTTTTTATTTCTCATTTTTACCAGCGTTAAAAATGCTACTAGTTTGCTAATTCAACAACTTTGTATTTTCACTAATAACAAAGTTACTAATGGTGGACACTTAATTTGGATAACCCTGTATAGGGCGACGGCCGGGAGAGGGAAGCAGAGTAGATTTGAGTGAATGGCGCGACATAATAATTCGTAAATGAGTAGTCAGACATAAACAGTGATGTACATAAATGTTCTAGCTAGTTAAGTTAAAATTAGTTGTATTGTGTTTTAAATAAATTAGTGCATTTATCCTTGTGGAATCGAGTGTTTTTAATCCGCACCCAAAAGAACCCAGAAAAAGCTACAATATGTTGTCATGTGTAGAGATCGGACAAAAATGTTTCAAAAAATTTACCACCTTCACCCACTTCTGTCTCGTACACATTGAACTCAAACTGTCAGTCAAATTTGAATCTCACTGTATATATTCTAAAAACAGAAGAGCGTATGTATAGTCAACAAGCCTGGCTGTCGTGTTTTTGGAAAATGAGTAATTTGAATTCATATTGACTTACCATGAAGCTTGTATCATAACCCAGTAATACTCTGTACACACATGATGAATATAGCTTCCGGGCATTCTTCTGTCGTCACCCTTCCGCCATAACCGATCGTGTGTTGAGTCTCTATACTGAACAGGAAACAGGACGTGAAACCATGGATGTTGCTTATACAGGGCTCCACAGGCTCTGTCCCGTTCTGTAAAAATAATTATCGTTCAAAATGAGATGTTACCAACTTGTTAACGATCGCAATGCATAAATCCAGTAAAGCAGATTCGTTCAGCGTATACGTTTTAGTAACGTGTCATGAACGCGTATGATGAAGTCAAGTTTCACGAGACTTATTCGTAAGTTTGGAAGCACCGGTGCACGTTTTTGACGTCTTTTGCATCGGGTGATCGACATATAATAATAATAAATCGTCTTTAGCTGAATAGCTACTCCTCCACTTAACCCTATTATTTTCATGGTTTTGAACCAATGTAAATACATGTAATTAACATGTATATACGTTACAGGGTGTCCGCAAAGTTGGGGTTTTCCTTTACACGACGTGTAGATCTTGAAACATAAGCAATTTTTCTTAGTACCATATACACCAATGTCTTAAGGGAACCGAGATAAAGGGCTCTGCAACATCAAAATATCTGAATACCGTCCTGTAGCCGCGACTCGCGACATCCCCAACTGGTACTAGGACACTAGCTCAACCCGACGACAGGACTGGGTCGGGGGTCGGGGTCAGTGTGTCAGGTCAGTATGCAACCTTCAACCGAGGTTACGGTCACGCGTGTAGAGGTAAACGAACGCGTATAATCGATTGCGTTTCAAAAAACAACAAGCACTAGAGACGTGGCTAGCGAAGTGCAAGTATCAAAAACTAAAGTGTGGCAAACGCTGCGTGAAGAGGGGCTGTATCCGTTTCACGTCCAACGTGTACAAGCCCTTCAACCTGACGATTTTCCAGCAAGAGTGCGGTTTTGTGAGTGGTTGTTACATCAACATGACAATAATCCGGACCTTTGAAGTGCATATTGGTGACAGACGAATCTACGTTCACGCGTAATGGGGTGAATAACTTGCGCAACACTCATGTTTGGTCAGTAGAAAATCCGCACGCTGTCCGTCGGGCACATTTTCAACAAACGTTTCCGGTGAATGTTTGGGCTGGCATGGTGAACGGTATGCTCATTGGACCATTTATTCTCCCAAATCGATTGGACGGGATGCAATACCTAGACTTTTTACACAACATTTTGCCTTCCTTGTTAGCAGATGTGCCATTAAGTGTAAGACAATCAATGTGGTTTCTGCACGATGGTCATATTTTTTACCTCTTCGTCGACCTACTGGTCTGCACCACCGCCGGCGTCTGCTCGGTAGCGCATCAGCCTGATTTCATTTTCTGTTGGAGCGGTTATAATTTCGGGCAGAGACGTACTTAGCCCTTCTCGTCAACTGGAGAGTGAGTACTTTTTTCTTTATTTTTTTACTTGGTCGGCCTCGTTTCACTACACATTATCTTTGTTATTTCAAGGGTAGTTGTTTCTGAAAAGGAAAACCCCAACTTTGCGGACACCCTGTATACAGTGGCTAACCAAAGGAAAACAAAAATATTGCAAGACATAATATAGAAAATATAAACAGATTCAGCAACACGTCAAATAAATTTTTTCTGGCGGTTACTAATCTAAACTACAAACTACTACTTAATTACTACTACGAGTCATTTTTGATAGCAAATGCTGCTTGACACAAACTTTAAATTTAGTTTGAGATGTATTTTTGAATGCATCAGGTAGCACGTTATACAGTTTGACACAATTGTACCTAAAAGAGCGAGTAAATAAAGGCGTACGGTGCCGTGGAATATCTAATAATACCGGACAACAAATTTTAGTTTTTTAATTGTATCTTGTGGGAAAAGTGTACTTCTTTGTTAATTTTGGGGCGCTGAATCCAAAAATGACAATGAAATAAAAAAATTAGTTGCGGTTTAGAAAAAAAACTTTTTATTTTTAAGGATATATTAAAAAAAGTAACAAGATTCATATACTCATAAGAATCACTATATGCGCTGTCTTTTTGCTGTTCTTTTATGGATCGTTTCTGGAACATCTCTACCAAGAGTCCAACAGTAGTCTGCAAGCATGGAAGGATTCCACTTTCCCTGGTACCTTTTTTCCATTGTTGAAATATCCTGATGAAAACGTTCGCCCTGCTCATCACTTACGGCTCCGCAATTGTCAGGAAAAAAGTCCAGGTGTGAGTGTAGGAAATGTATCTAAGATACATATACAGCCCATCTTTTGATACGATGACAGCATATTTTTGACAAGGGTTTTATAGTTGTCAGTTTTATATTTCCCAAGAAATTAGTGACCACCAGACGGAAATCATTCCAAGCAGTTTTTTCAATACCTATTAAAGTGTTTTCAAACTGTGTATCTTTCAAAATATTTCGAATCTGTGACCCAACAAAAGTACTTCTTTAACCATTGCCTCACTTAGTCTTGGAAATTTCTGACGCAGGTATTGAGAAGCTGACCCATCTCTATCTAATGCCTTGACAAAGTTTTTCATTAGGCCCAACTTGATATGCAGTGGTGGTAGGTAATAAAATTTTTTTCGAACCTACTAATGGCATATGCTGTACATTTTTTTGACCTGGCTCTAGGAATTGACGAACAGGCCAGTTTTGTCTGGTGTAATGAAGTGCCTATGCCTGACTGTCCCATTCACGCAAAAAACAGCAAAACTTTGTGTAGCCTAGCTGCAGCTCAAGTAAAAGTGCAACAACTTTCAAATCGCCACAATATGCCATTGGTCCTCATCGTATTTTATGCATGTCAATAGGTACTTCATATTGTCATATGATCCTTTCATGTGAACTGCATACCCTACAGGAAGAGATGGTAAAATATTTCCAATATGCAATAACACTGCCCTTTAAACTCAATGTTGAACTGAATATAAACAATCTCCATTCTTCTGGGTTATAGTTTATATTTAAGCCGCCAGTAAGCCGTTAATGTTACTGCAGAAAACCAAGTTATTCTCCATATTGAAAAATGGTTCTAAGTCTTGTGGCGTTTACGAAAAACACATACCGAAACATCGTCTTCTAACAAGTTCCACTGCTGCAGTCTTGATCCAAGTAACTCTGCCTTACATTTGGAAGTTCTAAATCTCATACAAGATCATTTAATTCTGACTGTGTTATTTTGTGCGGTTGGTGGCATGACGTGCTCGGTATAAAATCAGGATCTCTTGACGTTGATGGCATATCTTCTTCCTGACGAATCACTCGATCGCCATGATCTGATTCATTTTCTGATTCGCAAGTGGGGGTTTTGGAATAGGATTTTCGTCACTGTGAGGCACAGGTCTCATCGCAGATGTATGTTTGGGTAGTTAATAACCGATTTTTTTTCTTGGACATACCTGTGGCTTGCCAACACAAGGTTCCATGCAAAAGTAACAATCATTAATATGATTTGTAGGCTCTCTCCAAACCATTGGGACAGCAAAGCGCATAGACCGTTTTTGCCATTTAACCAGCTCCTCAGACTTGAAGCACATGTATTACAGCAGATGTGGGGTGCCCACTGTTTGTCTTCATTACCTAGCTTACAACCGAAATAAAGCTGATATGTCTTTGTTATTAGTGGAGTAATAGACCGTCTCTGAGACGCAAAAGTCACATCACCACACACGTAACAAAACTAATCTGGATTGTTTTACACACTTTCGAGACATCTGCATGAACGCTGTCAGCCAACTGAGGAAAAAATGGCTAATATAAAACAATATAATGTACACGTATGTATAACGTAACACAATCATGCCGATTACATCATCTTTCCTTGCCGAATATAAAAATGTAGCACGTGCATTCTTGTGGATTACAGTATATTAACACTGTCACAGCAGGAACACATATATTTCCGTATCTCTAAAACTTGAACTAATATTGAAAAAATAAGTTTCATTCCGGTTTTAGCACATTAAAAATAGTAATATTTGTTGATTTTATTTAGGATATTTTTTGGCTGTTGATCAGTGAATTTGCCATACCTGAGCATGCGATCTCTAACAGATTGCCTGAAAAAAAATTTTTTGAAGAGGTATTCGGGAGTTCCCGTGATAATCAAATTATAAATGAACTTCAAGATAAAATACTCGTAAGAGCTATTAATATCTAAACTACGAATACAGTGTGAAAGATGGTCATATTTTCTTAAAACCGTAGATGAGGCGACAGCACGAATTTTGAATCAGTTGAAGTCTGCGAGACTTGATCTAAGTAAGGATAGAAACTATAAGGCAGTAGTTGATTTTGAGAGAACTAGGCTTTCACAAAGATGTTTTTTCAATTTGAAATTGATGAAATGCCTACTAACAAACAATGTTTTTAGTACAACAAAGCAGTTTCTTACTAATTTAGATATATGCTCACGAAAACGTAAATCCTTGTCAAGTAAGACACCCAATTTTTTTTGCAAGATCCTCATAACTAAAGAAGTGTCATTAATGCGTACTGTCGTGTTATTTCTGATATTAATGATTTTGTTTTTTGGTGCAAAGAGAACAGCTTTAGATTTAGAGGCATTTATCGTTAAGGAGCTATGCTTGGAAAAACTAACAATAGTGGCTAAGTCACAATTCAACTCGTCAACAGCTGCTACACAGTCATCTGGATCAAAAGTTTTACATATTTGTGTATCATCCGCAAAAATCATCACTTCAGAGGAGCGTATCAGTTTACACATGTCTGATATGTAAATGGAGAACAATAGCGGCCCTAAAACAGAGCCTTGAGGGACCCCTGATATCACATCCTTATATGTCGAATATGAGTTGTCCAAATGTACCCTTTGCATACGATTCATGAGATAACTAGTAATGAACTTGATAGATGCTTGAGAAAATCCAATATATTTGCATTTTGAGATCAAAAGTGAATGCTTGATAGTGTCAAAAGCCTTGGAGAAGTCAAGCAGTACAAGAGCCGCTGCTTGACCCCGATCCAAAGCCTCAACAATATCATCAGTCACCTTAAGCAGGGCAGTGGTGGTGCTATTCCCTACTTTGCAGCCAGACTGGTTTTTTGGAATTATGTTATTCTCAGAGCAGTACTCTTTCAATTGATCATGTACCATCCTTTCCAATATTTTTGATAGAATCGGAAGTAAACTTATTAGGTGCAGGTCAGAATAAGCTGAAGAATTAATCAAATGCGTTAATATTTGCCAATCACAGGAAGACACAGTTTTATCATATTAGGCGTAATATCATCATGCCTGCTTCCTCAGTGGTCATGACCAGATCAAATTTGAGCGACTCATCACGTATGTTATTATCATAAATTCTATTTCACTACCACAGAGCTGAGTATTATCTTCAAAAACAGATACAAAATAATCATTTATCTGCGTTGCGTTACGTAAACTAACAGGTATGTGGTTACGCTTCTTAGTCTGCATGTTCAAATTCCTGATACCTTTATATAAAGAAGATGAATCATTAGTTTCTTGTAAGTGCTGAAGATAACCAGCCTTTTCTCTACGCTGTGCTGCAAGAGCATAATTTCTCAGTTCTGTGTATTCTGTCCAGTTCTGATTTGCCCTATTGTGTTTGTATTTTATTAAAGCTGCATCCCTCTGCTTGAAATACAGGGTGACTTTGAAGTTGAGTCATTAATTTTCAGATAATTATTGTAGAAGCAAGATAAACCAAAATATGTGTGTAAAAATAAAAAAAAATTAAAAAATGTTACCTTGTTTTATAAAGTATCCTCCCGACAAGTATTTCAGTGCGGACCTGTATTTGATCGTGCGGTCTTGGAGCACCGGCATGCCCTCCCCTGTGAGGTCTTAAGTCACCTGATTCACTAGCCCTTTGTACTACATTAACAAAGGCACGAGGGGTTGGTTGCACTCGATTAAATAAGAATCATGTCCTCAAGTTCACAAGTTCAGCATTTTCGTAAACATGTGCCATTTTTCATTTCGATTGAGCCACGCAACAAACACCACTATTCACTCACGCGTTACCGACTTACACAACGTCTGAATACAACTGAATAAAATTGTAGTAAAAACATCGTGATAAGCGTTTCAAATTCTTTCGCTTTTTTGTTTCCGATGCGATGAACCGATAAGGCGGATTATATCCGTTGTCGCCAAACACGAGCACATAATATTATTATTGAGACAGGGCGGTACTCAAACTTCTAGAGGGCTATAACTTTGTTAATTTAATTTTACCAGAAACATGTTAAAGGAAAAAAACATTTCTTTTGATCATATCTACTCATTGTGAAAATAAATGACTCAACTTCGAAGTCAGCCTGTATATATTTGTGCACCACAATACTGATTTATAGATATGCGATTATCAACCCATATTATAGGTATTAACAATAGGTTGGGACTTTCTTTTTCGGAAACGACTCGTCTTGAATTAACAAAGCTGATGAGTGATGGAACAGTAGCGAAAATGTAAAAAAATAAATCAAAAATTACTCAGCGTTCATTTCAAGTTCGGCTCAGTCTTACTTATAAGTACGTAGTCGCCATTGGTAAATGTTTCGTAGAAGTCTAGTCCAGCAGATTCGGAAAAATAAAACCTTCAATGAACCGTTCACTATGCCAGCCCAGACATTCAAAGATGTTTGTTGAAAATGTAACCGACAGAATACGTGAGGATTCTCCAATCAACACACATGGGTATGTCAGAATATGTGGCTCCGAATGACAACGTCTTGGGAAGCGATCTCCATAGACTCGCGAAGATGCGGTAGCATTTTGGAGACACTCACCATAAATTTAAATCGTGTCGACAAGTTCGATATTGCTGTGCGAGTGTGCCATTTTGATTTATTTCGAACCGATTGGTAAATACATGTTTTGTTTACCTCCGCTGCCGGCGTTGGTTGAATACTGACGCGCGTTGTGCCTTCTCACTTTTGATCTGATCGATATACAGAAGCGTTTGATTGATTTTGCGGAGCTTATTATCTCAGTTATCATAAGACTTTGGTATACATTATAATGTGCTACTAGAAAGAACCACCTACTTTTAAGATCAATACGCCATGTAAAGAGAATTCCCAACTTTGCGGACACCTTGCATTTTAGTTGACAGTGGTCATATTTACACAAAGTCACTTTCTTGATTTATTATTATGCTTTTTCGAATATACGGTTCCTATTTATAGAATTTCAGGAAACAATATTGCTTGCTGGTTGCGTGTTTGATTTTATAAAGTTTATGCATAGTGTTGAATGAAAAAAGTTACTAGAACTAAAAGTAAAAAAGCAATTGAGATTTCTTAACAAAACATTTTTTGTGAACTCGTGGCATTTGATCCCACACACTGCACTCCAAACATATTCACTAAATACAGGGTGTTCCAACGAAAATGGAACAAACTGGATAAAATATCAAAAATCTGTTCTCGTGGCAGCCTTTACCTGTTACTGATGCATATTTTCAAATTATTTTGATATACGAGTATTCAGGGTGTTCCATATCTTGGGGCTATGACAAACATATTTTTTTAAATAAAACACCATATACAGGGTGTCCCAGAAGTCGACGTCAAGCCGAAACCGGGTGATAGGCAAAGTCTCAACAGCTATCAGAAAAATATTTTAAAAAATTTTATGTAAGTGTTTCGAAAATTATAGGTCTTTGAAAAAAATATAGAAATTTCACACCCTACGGCAGTCTGTCAACTCCTGTTACTACAAATACTAACTTTCTTTGGATTTTATTTTACAATGTAATGATGAATAATGCATCTTCAAACTGGTGTGTCAACCTTACTGCCAACTTTTCTCGTTCAGGAAAAATTGCCACTTATTTCCCAACCAAGTATTCCAAAGTAAAACTTTGCTCAACTTTAACTGGCTGTACTGGAAAAAAATGTACTACGAGAGTTTGGCAAGTAACCTTAAAAGTTGGCGCATTTAATAAGGATTCCAAAATGGTATAACACTTAGAAGATTACTCGTTAACTTATGCACAATTTTTATTTGAAGAAAAACTGATGAAAATTTTTCAAAATTTCCTAATTAAACAGCGATTATGAAAACGCACAAGGACCCTTAAGGATAACTGATTTACCTTTACAGCAAATGCTCAAACTGTTTTCCTTCAGCCGCAAAACACGCTCGACATCTTCTTAAAAAAGATCGGGTTATTAAACGAGCGAATCCACGGTTATTAACAAACTCAGCTGCTTCCAATAGTCTTTGCCGTAGCTCAGCTACATTTTGAATCGGCTTGAAATACACTTTTTCTTTACAGTTCCCCAGTAAAAAAATCTAACGGATTCAAATCTGGTGACCGGGCTGGCCACGGTATTGTACCAGACCGCCCTATCCATCTGCCTGGAAAGTTTTGATCGAGATACTCTCTCACTGAGAGTGCATAGTGCGCTGGGCAGCCATCATGCTGAAACCACATGTCCCTGTAAATACTCAGTGGCACGTCCACCAATAAATTTTGTACATGATTTTTCAAAAAATCCAAATAAACTTCAGCAGTCAAAGTCTCTGGGAACTCAAACGGACCGATTATTTTACCATTTAAAATTCCTGTCCAATGGTTTATCTTCAAGCGATATTGAGATTTATCTTCTCTCATCAAATGTGGGTTTGCTACGTGCCACTCGTGTAAGTTATGCAGGTTCATATAGCCATCTTTCTTAAATGTGGTCTCATCTGACCATACAATTTTTTCAAAGAACCGTGGATCTTCCCTGTGTCTTTCTACCATTGTGCGACAAAAAGCATCTCGGGGCTCATAATCCCGGGGCAGAAGAGCTTGAACACGCTGTACGTGGTATGGATGGAGCACGTTTTTTTGCAAGATTCTATGAGCTGTACTTTTGGGCACACCTGTTTTTTAGTTCTATTGCACGCACTGAAGTACTCGGGTCTTCTTCGACAGCTCCTAGCACCACGTCTTCGTAAGGAAGGAAAGATCTTCTCTCACCGTATGATTGGTTTGGTAGTTGGCCCTCTGAGAACAGTAAGCGGTGCACATTTGTGAACACTCGATGATCTGGATGACGAGCTGCATTCGGGTACCTCTCACAGTAAAGTCTCGCTGCAGCACTAGCGTTGCATCTGCATTCCCCACAAATGAGGTGCATGTTAGCATATTCTTGTACGGTGTACACGGACATAGCGGCACTGCACAATCTCACTATCAAAGATAGTCTCTAAGGAAAGCAAATGTTGTTTTGAAGAGCAATTAAATAGTCCAAATCCAAATCACAAGCGATCAACAGTCCAGTTCACGAATCCAAAATTTGTAACAGTACGAAATCAACAAGCACGAACATGTAAAGATGCGCAGTAAACGAAGGAGTACTGATCGGTATCAAAATGTGCAATAGCAAGTAAGTGATGTGCTTCATCCATACCACATACAGCGTGTTTAACCTCTCCTGCCCCGGGATTATAAGCCCCGAGTTGCTTTTTGTCGCACAATGTTAGAAAGACAGGAAAGATCCACGGTTCTTTGAAAAAATTTTATGGTCGGATGAGACCACATTTAAGAAAGATGGGTACATGAACCTGCATAACTTACACGAGTCGCACGTAGTAAATCCACATTTGATGAGAGAAGATAAATCTCAATATCGCTTCAAGATAAACCATTGGACAGGAATTTTAAATGGTAAAATAATCGGTCCGTTTGAGTTCCCAGAGACTTTGACTGCTGAAGTTATTTGGATTTTTTGAAAAATCATGTACAAAATTTATTGGTGGACGTGCCACTGAGTATTTACAGGGACATGTGGTTTCCGCATGATGGCTGCCCAGCGCACTACGCACTCTCAGTGAGAGAGTATCTCGATCAAAACTTTCCAGGCAGATGGATAAGGCGGTCTGGTACAATACCGTGGCCAGCCCGATCGCCTGATTTGAATCCTTTAGATTTTTTTACTGGGGAACTGTAAAATAAAAAGTGTATTTCAAGCCGATTCAAAATGTAGCTGAGCTACGGCAAAGACTATTGGAAGCAGCTGAGTTTGTTAATAACCGTGGATTCGCTCGTTTAATAACCCGATCTTTTTTAAGAAGATGTCGAGCGTGTATTGCGGCTGAAGGAAAACAGTTTGAGCATTTGCTGTAAAGGTAAATCATCATCAGCAGCATTTTGACGCCCAGTGTTGTGCAAACAGTTATCCTTAAGGGTCCTTGTGCGTTTTCATAATCGCTGTTTAATTAGGAAACTAGCGCAGTTGCTGGCACGCTAACGCTATGCAAAATATTGCACGTTGATGTCTTTATTTAAAACCTCACGTAGCGCAGTTGCTGGTATGCTAATGCAATGCTAGCGATAACTTTATCCCTATCTCTAATCATTTTTTATCCTTTGGCATCTTTGATCTGGTATCTGGTATCAGGTATCTGGTATCTGGTATTTGGTATCTGGTATCTGGTATCTGGTATCCGGTGTCTGG